CTCTCCCTCGTGCCTCTAGCTTCTTATTCCTCCCTTAGCTGTTCCAGGTCGGACTTTATATATTTCACGAATGTAGTTTCGTCTATGTAAATACAGTATACACGACATCATGACTCCTACGAAAAAGTTCGCTTCTGATCCTCCGCAATCACTGGTAAAACATGAACGACAAACACAGAAACAAAACTATCCGGCATCTGAGACATACTGAATCTGCTCGACATGTACTCCAACAAGGCTTGAAATCTCTGTCCAAAACACCAAACTTCACACTTCTCTCTCACTTTCTTCAATCGTTGTTTTGCAGTAACCGTTCCATTTATGTCCTGTCAAAAGATTCCTGCTCCTACCCCGTAGTCTTGTCATGTCGTCTTAAACACAAGCAAGGATTAGTCGGAGTTCTATCCATATTCTATCATCATTTTCTGCGTCTCTGGCGACTAGTTTTTATTCATTACTTCTCTACCACCTACCGCGTATGCTGCCGTGTATTCTGCCGTATCTTGGTATATGTTTTTGAGAAAAAAGAGGGATATACCGTTCTGCCACAGAGATTCCTGGTGACGGGTTGCCTGTATTTTCCATTTCCCAACCTCTTGGATGCATTCAATTGCCACCGGCAGCCCCCTAGGCAGCCCCCTAGGATATCGCGGCATCTTAAGATCCTAGGGCAATTCAAACATGGGTTGAATTATATGGCATTCCTTTTGCCTCAGATAAAATACTGTTCTGTGGTGAGTCGAAAAAAGTTACCGTGTGTGCGGGAACGAGTGTCGCATACGGCAGTATAGATACAGGCCTCAGCAACAGACTGAGTGGGTGGATATCGCAATGCACACACCGACGGTATCAAAGTGTCCGTGGGTCATGAAGTGCTCATGCTGCACACAAACATGTACGCATTTGTCAGTTATAACGGAAAAGTCACAATGCTGTTGTAGAGAATAAAAGCAAGGGCAATCGCAACATCAAAGATAGGGACGGGGACAGCGTTCAAGCATTTTTTCTTTGTGCTCTCTGACTTGATCGTATAGTAGGGCTTCATCAATTGAGTAATTGTAGCAGCCGTGGATCCCATAGCTGCACAGTAGTCAGCGGGTGTGATGGCCATCCAATAATTAAGTCGTTCACATAAAAATAAAAACTAAAGGAGTCCGTTCCCTTTAAACAAATGTATCGCCATGGAAGAAAATTTAGCAACTCTGTTCTCACGGGCGCTGGATTGCCCATGAGACACACGAGTTTCCTCGAAAGCCTATGCTGGTAAAAGCTTTGAACAACTTTCTCTGCCTGTTCTGCCGCTGAAAATTCGGTGCAGTCTCCTTGCACGAGTTTCTGGTTCGCCCAAACCGTCTCGACTTAATAGCGGACCAGGTTCCCATGATACGTCAAAGAAGTCATCTCGCTCCATCAACTCAAACGGAGCCGCTTCTTCTGAGATTCCCAGAGCCTCCGACACATAGAGGCCAGCCATTTCCGCCATGACCACTGGTTTAAGTGAATGCCGGAGATACATGAGCAGAGAGAACGCCGCCAACAAAATGAAAGTCAGCGATAACCAGTTTAGCACACGAAAGTTCTCCCGCCATATCACACCCTTGTTCTCAATCGTGCTTCCGCTTGGGAGCATCAAATCTCGCGTGTTGGGCCCAACAACAGCCATCCCAATAGAGTCTTTGAAAAACGTATCCGCGAACTTCATTGCTGCGTTGCCTCGGGGTGACACTGCCGTAAACGTCGTTGTATATCGCCGTGAGAGTTCTTTCAATAACCGTTTCTCTTTATTGACGACAAACACATCCACTCCTTCACTTTCTGAGACTTTAAAAGTGAAATCGATTTCGTTCAGGCGCTTCGCATTCATACTGTCGTCTTCTGTGCTTAATCGATAGGTGGAAAACAAGAAAGCAACAAATTGTCTGTGGACCGCACTGATTGTTCTCTCTCGGGAAGCGCTCATGTCAGACTTGCTCATGAGACGCACTTCTCCACTTGTTTCAAAGGCACCGCTAAAACGTTCTCCAAACTTCCCGAGTCTGAAATAAGCCTTCGCTGAGTAGTTGTTATTCTCGTTCTCAATTCTGAGAAAATGGTTGCTGCCAAACTGGTGAAGATCTGACCGAATTTCCACATCGACCGGGTCAGTGACACTCTGAAAAGAGTGTTTAGTACGGTTGACAGTAGACGTGAAGCATGTGCTAAGGAAAGTGTTGCTCTGGACAACACCCTGTAGAGATACGTTGGTGCAAGGAGGGTTGATGCTGGTTTTCGCTGCCTGGTATATGGGGTCAAAATTCGGATTTAGCGGTTCGACAATTCGGAAGGTGGCGACGTCATTGAGAACTTCCCGTTCTTCTGGGTTTGTTAAAAACAATACCAAAACTTCAAGTCCGAATGATGCAGTAAAAACGAATAGCGCAGCGAAAACAAGCCGAACAGTCAGGCCTCTCTGACTCTTGACTCGGAAGAGAGATCTGAGTTTGAATTCACGGGCAAGGTTTGATAGGTGGTTGATAGAGAAGCTGAAAGTGGAGACGGACCCTTCCCTCGTTCTTAACAAGAGGCCAGTTACGACTCCTTCTATGGTCAGAAGGAGAAGCAGTGAGAGAACGGCAACGATAACATCGTCGTGTTCGGTGAGATCTTTAGAGAAAAGGCCAGTCAAGCGAAGAGAGACTTGCATTTCACCTTGCAGAAAGGAAGCGATGTCTTTCTTGGTTATGGAAGGGGGCAAGACGTCCGATTCAGAAGGGACGAGAGAGACGTAGTTGACACCGTGCATTTCAGAAAAGAGCTCTCGAAACTCTGAGCGAGGCATTACAGAAACGTCAGTTGGGGTTTGCGGATTGCGACCTGAAAATGCGTTCACTGCAGAGGCGAATTCGACTGACGAGGTGCGTGAGATAGTGCGCGATGAACTGAGTGGGGGCTATGGTTTGAAGGGGGAGATGACGAAGTGCTCAAGCAGAAATCTCATGACGGTTTGGTCACCAGGACTGCAAATTGGAGCACTCCAGGAAGACAAGGAAAAGGGAGCTTCGTTATTTCTGAGCGAGAAATTGTTAGGCGGAGTGGGAGAGGTGTTCTCTACTGCAAAGACTAGAGAGAAGGGGCGCAGTTAGAGAGCACTGTACTGAACCTGAAGTCGTGGATTCGACAGGATTATACATCAATTCTTGGGCAGCAGGCTCAAGAGCCATGGCGTTGCGAAATGAAGCCTCCTGACTAGAATGACTTGTCGCACTACAGAGCAATGTCTCGATAGAGTGTAGCAAAATATGGCGCTCATTGGAAGCCCGCTCAGTTCACTGTACGTCTTCCGAAGTGGGGAATTGGGCTAAAACGGGAGGGTGGCGCCTTGTTACTGCCGTTGCGGTTCCTTGTATACAGTCTGTTCCCTTTGTTGAGGCTTCACTCTATCGAGACTATACTCTGTATATTTTTTATTCTGACAGATTGATACGTACTGATGTCTTAATGCAGGGACAGCGTATAGTATGGTTTTACAGAGGCGTAAACAAGCTTTTCCTGCAGAGCTGGAGTGAAGCAAAGCTTATACTGCAGGATAAGAGCTATATAAGAGCGGTATTCTTCGACCGTGCGCTATTCTGGTGCGGACATGCATGCCCTGCAACTCATAAAGAGCATTTTTCGTAGCTTCGCCTATTTAGCAGACCATGATACTGGGGTGTACAGTACGCCACCTGTGTGCGCACCCGTTGACCAAACTCTTCGCGCCTCCTATCCCTGTCCCAAATTATTGCGACTGCTGCCCAGCGTCAGGCTTTAGTACAATATCCTGCCTCATACACCCTCTTGCAGCGCATCCATACCTTGCTGCCAACATCGAACTTCCCATTTTAATGCACTGATGACGATGCTAGTCGAATCACTCAAGCACTGTGTGGTGTGCTGCTGATCTTAACCCTTGAAAAACTTCTGGAGAAGTCTGCCATGCAATTGTGTGCCCTTCGTCCCCTTCCGTGTGCACCAATAGAGAAATTTTGTTCTTGATAGGGTGAAGTTTCCCACACTCCCAGCAACTCTCTCGATTTCGTCTTCATTCGGCAAGTCGCCCAGTGCAAACCATTTGTCTGGGCAAGACCCAACGTAATATGTATTACGAAGAACTCGACAGGCAAGGCTCCTCGTTCTTTATCTTCAGGGATGGCGATCAAAATTTAGCTTCTACAGCTGATATTCAGGTTCCAGAAGGGGAGGGAACTGCCTCGTTTCTGCGGGAAGACTTGAGGGTCGCCTCTAAAGTGGGGAATACGTTTACCAACGACTTGACAGGGCAAGATGACGTGCTGGTCGCTGTACTATCTCTCATTCTTCTCCTCGTCATCCAAGGAATTGTTTCCACTGTTTTGCTGCGCACGCGCGACGGAAAGGTGTCTACCTTCAGTTTTGCTGTCAAGCAGGTGGTGGAACTTGCTCGTGAGTTCAGACTGAAGAGGATCTGGGAGGGCCTGAAAGTGGGAGAGACATTCAACACTAGGTCTAGGAGGAACAGGATTGACATTCGGTTAGTCATAATTGCAATCGTTGTAGTCCTCGGCACATTCGGGCTTGAGGTACTTATTTTGTTTCTCACCGAACGTGAAGGCCGCGGTGTCACAAATCGGAGAGTCGCATTGAAATTGGAATATCCATTCAATCCGGACTGGGGGGCCGTACGATTTCACAACCGCGCATCCCTCAATCATGCTTGCCTAGCGCTGGCGCTCTTGGGTGATGTTGACCAAGGGAAGAGTCGCATCACTACCTGTGTAACAACAACCTTGGGGACAGATACTTTCGATAAGTTCGAAAAAGCGACAGAAATACAACAGCTTTCGATCCTCAGCAACGTTCATGACTATGGAATGGATCATGCTGTGCAGATTGGGGAAAAAGAGGCTACCAGCTACGAGGCGCGGGCATTCTTCAAGCTCGGTGATCAAAGACAGAGGATCATGAGCCGGGATGGCGAACTGCCCGGTGTGACCCGCGACAGGATGAGAGTTATGCACAGGCAATATTTAGCCATTCTTTTCAACACGTACAAGCAAGAGATAGACGATGAGGCGATGAATCTGGAGAGATTGCAAGAAATCGACGGAAGCATACGATTTGCAGAAGCCGAGGGGGTGGACATCCCGATTGTCACGGCTTCAGATGGTGATGAAACAAAAGTTTTGAAGGCGTCCAAATCTCGGCGATTCTTCTCACAGGTCAATGCCACGCTACCCTTCGGTAGAGCTGCGTTGTGGGCGGCGCAGCCGGTGTTTAAAAGCTGCATGGCTGTGCAAGTTCGTCAATAGAATTCACGGGATTTGTTCGCGAACGGGATAGAAGAGGATGCCGTCGCGGAAATCTGGAACGAACAAGGAAGAGTTATCAATTGGCTCTCCCTGACTTTAATCTTAGGGGTTGCTATTTTCATTCTAGGCCTGCTTCGGCATCTTCTAAAACCAGTAGCGACGGCGGAGATTGCAGCGTTGTTTGTGAGGGACGCGGTCGGGGCACAGTTGGACCGACCTGGAACGCAGACCGGGGGGAATGAGAGAGTCCGGTTCTTACCGCACCATCAGCCGCGGAGCGGTATGCAGGTTACGGGGATGGAGCCCAGTCAAGATGGAATCACAGGCGACTCGTTTTCAGTTCCGATGAGCAGCTTTTCTAGTGTGCCGATCGACATGGGCGAGGTCTGAAGGATGGATGGGGCCGGGTTGCGCGGGACGAGTGGAGACTACATTTTTCGCAGCGCCGGTACCTCGCATCATAGGCGGATGGCGCAGAGCTCGGCGGATGTTTCCATGGAAATGGGGGGAATTGATGGTAGGGTCAGCGGTAATCATCGCTGATGTGGAGCACCATGACTACGGTAGTGTTTCCAGTGTCCATCGGACCATTGTCCTCATATGAGGACATTATTCGACCTATTTTATTCTTGACTTCCGCTTCCTCGACAAGAAAGAAAAGGATACAGTGAACCCTCTCGATATGGATACGCTCGGTGGACGTAATCCGTATCCATTTGCGGAGGATATTCACATCCGGAGACCGTATCATAACGGTGTCACGGTGCATCTCTCAGAATGTCTGTGCTTTACTTAAAAAATGTATCTAAATGTAGGGTCATTTGTGAATCTCGGGGTGACAGGTGCGGCTTTTGACCCTCCTGAGGGGTGTATTTCTAGACCCAGGGTGTTTTGAGGGCGACTACTCACGATCAGGTAGTATTGAAGGGTGACGTGTCACTTTCATTCAATTGTGAGGGTGATATTTTCCGAAGAAGCGGCATGTTGAAACATGCCGAACTTTATCTGTTTCTATAGGGCGACATTGGACCAATTCTGAGATTCATGTGTTTCTCAGTTGGAAACATAGGGTGACTTATTTTTGCGAAACACTAACAATGTCTACCCACTCTATCTACATCAACTCGGCGAGCCCCCATAAAAAGTCTGCTTCTCTATATTTTTACAACGTTCACTATTTGGTTCCACCACCACGCTTCAGATCTGTGACGCCCCTGGCAAACAAATCAAATAACTTCTCCAACCTCTCCTCACCGCTTCTCGACGAAGAGTTAAGCGTATCTGCAGCGCACGGGCCAGGCCGCCGGGCAGGGCGCCGTCCTCAGCGCGCAGCTGGCCCTTGCGCGCCTGCAGCTGCTGTTTGAGCGTACGCATGCGGCCGAGCTGGCGCTCCAGCGCCACGCCGCGCTCCTTCTTCTTGCGGTTGCTGCGCCGCGCCGAGATCCGGTTGCGCTCGCGCCGCTCCTCGTCCTTGATCCGCCGCAGGATCTCGTGCACTTCCTCCGTCCCCGCGCGCGTCCCCGCCCGCGACCGGCCCGCGCCCCGCGTCCGTCGCCTCGCCGGCGCCGCCCCCGCCGCTCACGCCCGACCCCGCGTCTTCCGCGTACGATGCGCGCTCGCGGCTGCCGTCCTACGCGTCGCCGCCGCGCTGCCGCTTGGTGAGCGAGCCCTTGCTCTCGAAGTGGATGGTGCTAGTCTCGGTCGACACGCCGCTCGCCTCGAACGCCGCCCGCTGGCCGACGCCGGCTCCGGTCGGCCCCTGCCACGCGTCCACCACGCGCGGCCGCCGCGCCTGGCCTCCGTCGCTGACACCGCCGCCCCCGTCCATCCCTGACGACGTCATGCTCACCGGCGTGCACTTCCCGCCGCCAAACTAGTCTGCGCGAATCACCCCCTGCGTCCCGTCCCCGCCAATCTCGGCCAGCAGCTCCCCCAGGCTCCCCCCGCTCTGCATGCTCGGCGCCGACAACCCCCTGGAATCCGTCGCCTTTGCCCGCTCCTCGTCCTCGTCCTCCTCGTCCCCGCACCCGCCCCCGCTCCTGCTCGCACCTGAGCATGATTTGCACGCGCGCGTCGCGCGTGATCCTGGTTGTGGTGCTGGTTGTGGTGTTGTTGTTGATGCTGGTGCTGGTGTTGGTTTTGGTGGCGTCCGCGTCGGCCACCACCACCACCACCACCACCTCGCGTTAGATGACGGGGTGCAGCTGCAGCAGCAGCAGCCACGGAACGACAACGGCGGCACGGTGTCGGTGCACCAGGCAGACGGGGGCGAGGAGGATGGAGGAGGACATGTGCTGCGAGGCGGAGTCCGCGAGCGCTTCGGGCGGGTGCGGGAAGACGGGCGGCGGCGGGGCCACGCGCGTGGTGGACGAGTGGAACGTGAAGGCCAAGGACGGCAGGGCCGCGGACAGCAGCGGGCCATGTGCAGCGGCTCCACCGAGAACAGGAAGTCCAGTTGCCAGTTGCACATCACACCAAGAGCAACAGTGGCGGAGTAGTACCCTTCATGTGGCTGTGGAAAAGCATCATCTCGCTGCTCCACGCACCTGCCACAGATCATGTGAAGTGGTTACGTCGTTCGGTATTTTACACACCACGAAAGCATATTTACCTCGTGTTTTCGTCCCCGTATAGCTGTCTCAGTGCGCAAGTAGCGACAGTATGAGTCTCCGAACGGCAAAGAGAGCACGTATACTTCCTCTTTGATGCTGTTGGTCCTCGCTCGTACCAGCTCTTTTTTCGCTTCCCCGCGTTCTTGACTGGCCTCCCGCGAGGGGGAGGGATAGCTTTTGGGATCCGTAGGTTCTGACCAAATGCTACTAAACGTTTAGACTCCTTGATGACTTTGTCTACAGCGTATTGCGCCGGTATTGAGTAGCACAAGTCGTAGTACTGCTCTTTCCATGCTCGCGTTAAATGTCGCCGCGCAATGTGCTTGAACAAATTGTGGGATCCGTACTTCTCACATATCACAGCCGTCCCATGATAGCATGGAAAACCGGAACCATCTCTCGAATGCGTGCAGCATGAAGGGGGCGTATTTGGCTCTGAACTTATAATTACACGCCTTACGCGCGTTCCGTCAACGACGCTTCGGACCGTCGCCTCCATTTGTCGCGTTCCTTTTACGAACCTGACGGACTGCATATAAACTCTGGATCTCTGAATGAGAATCGCGAGGTGGTGCTCAATTTGAGGTGGGACCGGACTCTTGAAGTCAAGTACAGATGCTTGCCGCTTCAGGAAGGCAGCTCGCTGTGTGGAAATAACTCTGTCCAGCATCTTTTGCGGCTCTACTGTCCTGATGTGGTTCCGCAGGGCAGCTGCCATCCCACTCTCTGCTCCTTGAGATGTTATGATCAGATCTTGCAACAAAGAGCAAGATCTGTACAGCTCACTGTCATTAAACTTGTTAAGATATTCTTTCATCTTCCTCGGGAAGTCGTTTTTGGCTTCATCAACCTCATCCCTGCTTCGGTTTCGAAGCGCTTTGTCATACATGCGCAAACCAACGACCTTTCCCACACCCAGCGCGGTACCGAGATTTTTTCAGACATGCAGTGGGTCCAGAAACAACTTTGCGTGCTGCATGCAGAGCTTGTACGCGGCGTCGATAGATTTCTCCTGGTCGACAATAGTCGTCCTGCCGGGTACATCAAACCCGGGGATATCGGCGGCAGCTTGGAACACTTTCTCCCATGTGTCCATTCCTTCCGCTCCAACGAAATGGGCGAATACTAAAGGGCGTTATTGGTGATTGGCGTCATATCCGAACACTTCGAATGTTGTTCCGTATGAGCGGCGGCCCAAACCCTCGCAATGCGCGGCATCCGCTGCGCATGTCATCCTTCCCTTTCTGCAGAATGCTTCTGCGACCATCGGGATGAAGAGGAACCCCCCGTAATATTTTCCCTCGTCTACAATGTCCAAGACGTCCACATCCTCCGCCTTGAACTCGGTGTATGATCTTTGCCTTTCTGAATATGAAAGTTTTTCCTGTTGCTTGTGTATGAATCGTGCAGCTTTGATGCGCTGGGCTTTCAATTTGCCTACCAGACAGGATAAAAATGTCTACCCTGTGCCCCAATTCCCTTAGCAGACCGCAATAACCTTCTAGGGCAGCCATGTCAACGGCTCGAGCAGCTGATATGTATCTGTTCAGCTCACGCCTCACAGCTCGCAGGTGTGAGTTTGCTGGCTGTCGACGATAAATTGACTTCGCTCTTAAAATTGACCCGAGGAAGCTGGTGGGCATGTCAGGGTTCAACGCGAACTCATGACGAAGCGCGCGAGCAACTTGATCAGCAGTATATGCCGGTCTATTTTGACAGGACTTGTCGTCAATTGAATTCCCATAGCACTCGTTGTTGTGCTCTTGGAATCGATTCAACTTCCACAGGCCTGATTTTGGTTGCCGATTAAAAGTGATAGTTCCGACGCAGCCCTTTCGCCGACAAACCATACGCATCATTTCAAAAATTTTCACAACATTCACTCCCTGTGGCAAACCCAAATTTGCAGTATATGCTCGAATGAGCTGCTCGCAGCGCCATCGTCCGGAAAGCTGGATTCCAACCTCAGGGGTATACGGGACGCATCTTCCGGGAACCCAGGTCATCTCCGCTACTCTATCGGCAGCTATTTCCGCCTTTGCTCTTCTCTGACTTCTCATTTTTGACGCTCTCTTTTGTTCCGCCCGCCTTTTTTCCGTTCGAATTCAGACATATTCCGGCGGTCAAGCGGCAAACTCCTTTCGGCCTCTGCTGCAAAATCATCAGCTTCTCCTTCACTGCTGCTGTTCTCAAGTGTCACAGCTATGTATGCGCGCACATCGAAGTCATCGTCGCAACTATGTTCTGACGGAGAGGAAGGAGATTGATCATCATTATTTTCTATGGATATGTTTTCTTCGTCAGTTTCCCCTTCTTGACGCATTTCCTCCTCACACGACTGATGCACTTGTTCTTGTTCAGGTGAGAGCGAGGGCTTTCCTTCCCACT